GCTGCCCGTCACTGTCTGACGGGCAGCATTCACACAAAATGCGGAAAGCGTTAGTCTGACAGGCAGCATTCACGCAAAATGCGGAAAGCGTTAGTATGACGGGCAGCAGGCGTGTGAAATGATGCCCGCCACAGTCTGACGGGCAGAAGGTGCGCAAAATGGGGAATGCGGCAGTCTGACGGGCAGCAGGCATTCGAAAGGCTGTGCCTCGCTCTACAGCAGCTGTCCGGTGTCCCCAACAGTGACGTCACCATCCCCGAGACCCACCACCTCATGCTCCCCTTTCATCATTCCCTGCTCCCCCATTCCCTGCTCCCCCATTCCCTGCTCCCCCATTCCCTGCTCCCCCATTCCCTTCTCCCCCATTCCCTGCTACCCCACTCCCTGTCCCCCCATTCACTGCCCCCCCATTCCCTGCTCCCCCCTTCCCCGCTCCCCCATTCCCTGCTCCCCCATTCCCTGCTCTCCCCTTCCCCGCTCCCCCATTCCCTGTCCCCCATTTGCCTGCCCCACCATTCCCTGTTCCCTCATTCCCTGCTCCCCCATTCCCTGTTCACCCATTCCCCGCTCCCCCATTCCCTGTCCCCCGATTCCCTGTCCCCCCATTTTCTGAGTGGAAAATCCCTGCTCCCCCATTCCCTGCTCCCCCATTCCCTGTCCCCCCATTCCCTGTCCCCCCATTCCCTGTTCCCCCATTCTCTGTCCCCCCATTCCCTGCTCCCCCAGTCTCTGCTCCCCCATTTCCTGTTCCCCCATTCCCTGCATGCCCCCTTCCCCGCTCCCCCATTCCCTGTCCCCCGATTCCCTATCCCCCCATTCCCTGTTCCCCCATTCCCCGCTCCCCCATTCCCTGTCCCCCATTTGCCTGCCCCACCACTCCCTGTTCCCCCATTCCCTGCTCCCCCATTCCCTGTCCCCCAATTCCCTGTCCCCCCATTCCCTGAGTGGAAAATCCCTGCTCCCCCATTCCCTGTCCCCCCATTCCCTGTCCCCCCATTCCCTGTCCCCCCATTTCCTGTTCCCCCATTCCCTGTCCTCCCATTCCCTGTCCCCCCATTCCCTGCTCCCCCATGCCCTGTTCCCCCATTCCCTGAGTGGAAAATCCCTTCTCCCCCATTCCCTGCTCCCCCATTCCCTGTCCCCCCATTCCCTGTCCCCCCATTCCCTGTTCCCCCATTCCCTGTCCCCCCATTCCCTGCTCCCCCAGTCTCTGCTCCCCCATTCACTCTTTCCCAATTCCCTGTCCCCCGGATTCTCCGTCCCCCCATTCCCTGTCCCCCCATTCCCTGTCCCCCCATTCCCTGCTCCCCCATTCCCTGTTCCCCCATTCCCTGTCCCCCCTTTCCCGCTCCCCCATTCCCTGTCTCCTCATTCCCTGGTCCACCATTCCCGGCTCCCCCATTCCAGGTACGCTATAGATTGTAACCTTTTATTTAGCGTGTAGGCATGCTCGTTAAGCCGTTTTCATTCTTCTATACTTACTCTCACTTCCCACACCAACCCCCATTTGCCTGTAGGAACCCCACTCAAATCACTGCTCTACTGCTCTCACTGCTGCCATCTACTGCTCTCACTTCTGCAGTCGACTAACATTAGGTCTGCCACCTTGTTATGCTCACTGCAGCATTCCTGCTTCTCCCACTGCTGCCTTATTAGTTAAGGGTTTGTGGCATCCTGTTTCACTATCTGCTGACCTACCCTACTTCACACACACCTGTCTTCTCAGTGCATTCCCTCACTGCTGCCTTAGTGATTCACTCACTGCTGCCCACCTCAATCCGCCATGCTCCCACCTCAATCTCCAATGCTCCCCACCTCATTCTCCCATGCTCCCCACCTCATTCCCCCATGCTCCCCACCTCGATCCCCCATGCTCCCCACCTCGATCCCCCATGCTCCCCACCTCAATACCCCATGCTCCCCACCTCAATCCCCCATGCTCCACACATCAATCCCCCTTGCTCCCCACGTCAATCCCCACCCTACACCACTGGCGACACCTTACTCCCTCCCACAGCCACCTCATCCGCCCTTCTCCCCGATGTACTCCCACCTCTAATAGTGCCGAATCCAGTATGGGCTCTTCAGTGTCCTGGTCCACTCCATTTTATCTCCTTCTCACCCCTGTCTGACGGCCACCCCTCTGTTTCCCACCCCCTGCCAGGCATGGCCTGACGTGTGCGAGGCGCACAGGTCAACCACCTGAAGTGCATCACCCGGAGTGGTGTTGGAGGTTGCCTGCATTTGAGAATAAGTATCCAAAGCAGGCTACAGTGCTTAGCAATGGGGTGCAGAGTGGCTTGAGTTGAGGTCTGAGAGTGAGTTACAACATGGGAGGGCGACTGTTGAGAACATTATATGAGTGTGTTGTGGAGGCAATACCCCCAGCAGTTGCACGGGTCAACCGTTGCTGCCCAAAAATCACCGCTTCCGCTGCTATGACACATACTCCCGTTTGCTTGGTGACCACCCTTTTGCACAGGTTCGATTGCCCTGGCTGATATATGTCGTGATCAGCTCACTATATCCAGAAAGTGGTGATGGCCGTACGAGCATTGCGATCCTGGGGACATTGAGCACTTCATTAGTCAGTGGGTGGTGCCGGATGTCATAGACTTTGAGATTGATGTTTGGGGTAGTTGAGCGAATGACGCTGTTCAAGTATGGCCGCTATGTATACTTGGTGTATAAGACCTATTATCGTGTGTGTACCAGACCAATAGAAAGTATGTGAAGTTTTGCAAAATGCATCCTAATCCAAGAGTAAAAGGCACGCTTGACTATTGAAGGTTGATGTAGGGTTGTTTGATGCCTGAGACACATGACGGTGGTGCCTGTTTTGCGTTGCCCAACAAACAACAGCGGGGAGAAAACGGAAGGCATGAATATGGCTGGCAGAAACTACCCCTGTACAGGAGGCACATGAGATATGAAGATTGTGCGCAGCAATATCGAGGGTGCTCATGTGTTTGGGGTGGCAAAAGGTGGCTATGCGTGTAGAGCAGTGTGTGTGGAATACTCTGATGCAAAGGGGGGAAAAGGTGAGAGAGGATAGTAGTGACTGTCGTGTGTGGGTGGTATGTGACTACGCTGGTGGGTAGGCTGGTGGGTAGGCTGGTGGGTAGACTAGAGGGCAGACTGGTGGGTAGGCTGGTGGGTAGACTGGAGGGTAGACTGGTGGGTAGAATAGAGGGCAGAATGGTGGGTAGGCTGGTGGGTAGATTGGAGGGCAGACTGGTGGGTAGGCTAGTGGGTATGCTGGTGGGTAGGCTAGTGGGTAGGCTGGTGGGTAGGCTGGTGGGTAGGCTGGTGGGTAGGCTGGTGGGTAGGCTGGTGGGTAGGCTGGTGGGTAGGCTGGTGGGTAGGCTGGTGGGTAGGCTGGTGGGTAGGCTGGTGGGTAGGCTGGATGGTAGACTGGTGGGTGGGCTGTGAGTAACATCTGGAGCGGTGGGTATAATGCGAGTGAAGTCAAGGCTGGTAGGCTGAGCGAGGGACCCTATGAGCATCTGAGGGAATCTAGGGAGTCATATGTTTGTTCCAGGGTGGAGTGTGTAAACTGTACCTCTTGAAATATTGACTGTTTGGGTGGCTCCGAAGCTGTTTTCAGGGCGGCATGAATGGTCTACGCAATGATGGGTCACCCGGTCCTGCACACAAAGAATGGATACGTACGGAACGCCACCTTAAGGCGTGTTGAGTCTCGTGTGGCCTTGTTAGTAAACCAGACATACTAACAAACATGTGAAGAACGCTCAACAATAAAAACACACAATCGTTTACCCATGAAGAATTAGATGGGGTCAATGTGGCAGCAAGGATGCACGGTGCCACTCGGCAAAAATGTCCTTCGTCCATTGCCAGTTCATCGGTCCGAGCACGCGAACTTTCTTCCCATGGCGCACACGAGTTGCGGATAATATGTCTCAGGACGAGGCGCTCAACGGTGTTGTTCCAATGAAGAATCGAGAGTGTTATCCGTGCTTCCATACTCCCCCGAAAATGTACCCTCTTCGGTGCATATTTGCAAATTACCTAATGAAATGACTCGTTCAGCCAGCTGGACGCCCCAGGCACGAACGGTCGCATCTTGTCTGCGGAACAGTGTTTCTGTAACCACTTCCTGAAGGCTAGATGTGTGGTTCCACCGTATTTATACACTGCACTCTCTGGACCCCACCCATCAGCGACGCACCGTGGCACAATGCCATGTCGAGCACATCCAGAGTGATCACCAGCCCAATGCTCGGTTGATAGAGCAAGCTCAGACTCGACGTCCTCCGCGCTCATGGTGCGGCCTTCTTTGGCAAGAGTAGCACAGCGCGCCATCACGTGATGAAAATGGATACTATACTGCTGCACAAAACTCAATCTTTGACAACTGCCATATCATCCGATGAACCAACCCCCCCTTCAGCACTTGGTGTCTCACACCGCTTGTTGCGCCGCGTTCTTTTGGCCTTGCGCACCCATCGCCGTTCCCCCTCCATGGCTGTCTAAGGCAGCAGAGAGTGAATCACAATGGCAGCAGTGAGAGAATGACTAAGGCAGCAGTGAGTGAATCACAATGGCAGCAGTGAGAGAATGACTAAGGCAGCAGTGAGTGAATCACAATGGCAGCAGTGAGAGAATGACTGTGGCAGCAGAGAGTGAATCACAATGGCAGCAGTGAGAGAATGAGTAAGGCGCAATTGAGTGTAAGCAAAAGGCTTGTGTAATTGAAACTTGTGAGTAACTGTGAGTGAAATTAGAAGGGAACTGTGAGTGCAAGAAAGAGGCAGTGTTACAAACCTGAAGGAGATAGATGGCACTCTCAATGGTCGAATTGCGGGCCTAACCTTGCAAGAAGATGTCCCTGTCGCTGACTGGAACGTAGCTTAGAGCAACACAGCCGTCAGGCGAGGAGGTGAGAGTGATTTGAATAGGGTTCCTACAGGCAACTGGGGATTGGTGTGGGAGGTGAGAGTGATTTGAAAAGAATGAAATGGGCAGCATTAGAATGCCTAAACGCTGGATAAAAGGTGACATTCTACGGCGTACCTGGAATGAGGGATCAGGGAATGGGGGAACTGGGAATGGGGGGACAGGGATTTGGGGGACAGGGAACCGTGGAACAGGGAATAGGGGAGAGGGAAAGGGGGAGCGGGAAAGGGGGAGCGGGGAATGGGGGAGCGGGAAAGGGGGAACAGGGAATGGGGGAGGTGGGAACGGGGGAGCAGGGAATGAGGGGACAGTGAAGGGGGGAGTAGGAAATGGGAGAACAGGGAATTGGGGAACAGGGATTGGGGGAGCAGAGAATGGAGGAGCAGGGAATGGGGGAGCAGGGAATGGGGGAACGGGGAATGGGGGAACAGGGAATGGGTGAGTGGGGAATGGGGGAACAGGGAACGAGGGAACATGGAATGAGGGGGCAGGGAATGGGGGAATAGGGAATGGGGGAACAGGGAATGGGGGGACAGGGAATCGGGGGACAGGGAATCGGGGAACAGGTAGTGGGGGAGCGGGGAATGGGGGATCAGGGAATGGGGGAGGTGGGAATGGGGGAACAGGGAATGAGGGAACAGGGAATGAGGGAACATGGAATGGGGGAGCAGGGAATGGGGGAGCAGGGAATGGGGGAACGGGGAATGGGGGAACAGGGAATCGGGGAACAGGGAATGGGGGAGCGGGGAATGGGGGAACAGGGAATGGGTGAGCGGGGAATGGGGGAACAGGGAATGGGGGAACAGGGAATGAGGGAACATGGAATGGGGGAGCAGGGAATGGGGGAATAGGGAATGGGAGAACGGGGAATGGGGGGACAGGGAATCGGGGAACAGGGAATGGGGGAGCGGGAAATGGGGAACAGGGAATGGGGGAGGTGGGAACGGGGGAGAAGGAAATGAGGGGACAGTGAAGGGGGGAGCAGGGAAGGGGGGAGCGGGGAATGGGGGAATAGGGAATGGGGGAACCGGGAATGGGGGGACAGGGAATCGGGGGACAGGCAGTCGGGGAACAGCAAATGGGGGAGCGGGGAATGGGGGATCAGGGAATGGGGGAGGGGGGAATGGGGGAGCAGGGGATGAGGGGACAGGGAATGGGGGAGCAGGGAACAGGGGAGAAGGGAATGGAGGAGCAGGGAATGGGGGAGCAGGGAATGGGGGAGCAGGGAATGGGGGAACAGGGAATGGGGGAAGTGGGAATGGGAGAACAGGGAATGAGGGAACATGGAATGGGGGAGCAGGGAATGGGGGAGCAGGGAATGGGGGAATGGGGAATGGGGGGACAGGGAACCGGGGGACAGGGAATAGGGGAACAGGGAGTGGGGGAGCGGGGAATGGGGGATCAGGGAATGGGGGGGGTGGGAATGGGGGAGCAGGGAATGGGGAAGCAGGGCATGGAGAGCGGGAATGGGGGAGCAGGGAATGGGGGAGCAGGGAATGGGGGAGCAGGGAATGGGGGAGCGGGAAATGGGGGAGTGGGGAATGGGGGAGCAGGGAATGGGGGAGGTGGGAATGGGGGGACAGGGAATGAGGGAACAGGGAATGAAGGAACATGGAATGGGGGAGCAGGGAATGGGGGAGCGGGGAATGGGTGAACAGGGAATGGGGGAGGGGGGAACGGGGGAGCAGGGAATCGGTGAACAGGGAATGGGGGAGCGGGGAATGGGGGAACAGGGAATGGGTGAGCGGAGAATGGGGGAACAGGGAATGAGGGAGGTGGGAATGGGGGAAGGGAATGAGGGAACTGGGAATGAGGGTACATGGAATGGGGGAGCAGGGAATGGGGGAGGGGGGAATGGGGGATCAGGGAATGGGCGAGGGGGGAATGGGGGAGCAGGGAATCGGGGAACAGGGAATGGGGGAGCGGGGAATGGGGGAACAGGGAATGGGTGGCGGGGAGCGGGGAATGGGGGAGCAGGGAATGGGGGAGGTGGGAATGGAGGAATAGGGAATGAGGGAACATGGAATGGGGGAGCAGGGAATGGGGGAATAGGGAATCAGAGAACAGGGAATGGGGGAGCGGGGAATGGGGGAACAGGGTATGGGGGAGCGGGGAATGGGGGGAGAGGGGAATGGGGGAGCGGGAAAGGGGGAACAGGGTGTCAAACATTATATATGTTGGTTGTTGTTAGGCTACAGTGGGCTAGACTATATGGGGTACACTATTCTAGGGTTTGTATTTGTACTGCCTTCCCTGTTAGTTCAGCCATTCCAGTCAGTTATTCTTGACATGGTTTCAGAGCAGGTCCTTCGCTAGGACCGTCCTTCGGGCCCACCTACCTACCTACCTACCTACTACCTACCTACTACCGGAGCGCGTTCTTAGCGCCTCCCCCGTAGCGCCCTCGAGCGCTTCATTTTTTTTTTTTTTTTTTTTCGGCCCCGCTGGCCCCGTCGATCGAGCCCCGTCTAGAGGCCCCGCGGCCCCGTCGCATTTGACCTAGAGGCCCCTCACGGCCCCGTCGCGCCGCCCCTTAGCGCCTCTAACGACCCCGCTGCCCGCCCCTTAGCGGCCTCGTCGGCCCCGCGATCGCCCCTAACGGCCCGCGCACCGCCCGCTACCGACCCACGCAGCCCGCATTTCACCCGCGCGGCCTGCGTGCTGCCCGCTGCCGGCCCGCGCACCGCCAGAGCCACTCGCGTGCCGCACGCCCGTTGCCTGCAGCCGCTCGCGCACGCCCCGCAGTCGCCCATCGCCTGCCCGCGCACGCCCCGCAGCCGCCCGTCGCCTGCTCGCGCACGCCCCGCAGCCGCCCGTCGCCTGCTAGCGCACGCCCCGCAGGCCTGCAGCCCGCCGTCTCAGTGGCCGCCCGCCCGCAGCCGCCCGTCGCCTGCTCGCACACGCCCCGCAGCCGCCCGTCGCCTGCTCGCGCACGCCCCGCTGCCCGCAGCCGCTTGTACGCCGCTTCTTCCGCTGCTGCTTGCGCACCGCTGCCTCCCGAGCGCCACCGCTGCCCGTGCGCCGTCGCTGCCCCTACGCTGCTGCTGCCCGTGCGCCACCGCTGCCCGTGCACCGCCGCTGCCGCCCGTGCGCTTCTGCAGCCGCCGCCCGCGAGGCACTCGCTCTCACTGCTGTTATTTTCTACCTACCGTGCACACTGCTGCCACTGCAGCTGCCACCAGTGCACCGTTGCAGCTCCTGCTGCCCAGCTACCTACTACTGCCGCTCGTGTGCCACTACGGACAGTCGACCCCGCCCGCGCCTTACCTAGCGGCCCCGCCGGCCCCGTTGACCCTCCGCACACCGTTCCAGCGGCCTGATTCCTACTGCTACTACTGCTACTGCTACTGTCGCTATGGCTAGTCCTCCCGTTCTAGCTTTCGATGCCGAGGGCCGTCCGGTGAAGTTCGAAACCTGGCTAGATGACCTGCACCTGTTCTTACAGCTCACTGCCAAGGAAGATATCTCACTGTACGACCACGCCCTAGGCCATGCCACTGCCCCTGACTCGTCTGCTGACAGCACTCTGCGTTCCCAGTGGCAGACCCGTGATGCGCACGCTCGCTTTGCTATTCGCAACTCCCTGCCGCTAGACGAGCGCGAGCACTTCGGCCAGTGCAAGACTGCTAAGGACCTCTACACAGCTGTAGTTGCCCGCTACTCCTCACCTGCTTCTGCCACGCTAGGCCGCCTCACTCTCCCCTACCTGTTCCCCGACCTAGCCTCCTTTCACACTGTCGCAGACCTCATCACCCACCTTAAGACTAGTGAGGCCCGCTTTCGCGCTGCTATGCCTGCCGAGTTTCTCACTAGCAACCCCCCCCCGCTCTGGATCACTCTCTACCACATCGTCACCCGCCTCCCTGACTCTCTGCGCGCTGTCAGGGACCACTTCCTCTCTCGCTCCCCCACTGAGCTCACTGTTGCCCTCCTCGAGAAGGAACTGCTTGCAGCTGAGGCGAGTATTGTAGCTGTAGGCACCTCTCGTGGCGACCCCCGCACCCCGTTCTTTGAGGGGTGTTCCCCTTCCCCCCTCCTCCCCTCTGTCGCCTCTGCTGCTGCTGTCGACCTCCTCGGTGCTGAGAAGGTCGGGACCGCGTCTGCTTCGAGCGGGCGCCGCAGGAACAAGGGGGGCAGGGGTGGGGGTGGCGGCGGAGGAGGTGGGGGTGGAGGCGGTGGGAGTGGAGGCGCGGCTGAGGAGGCCGGTGGCGGCAGTGGGGGAGGAGACAGCAGCGGCGGGAGTGGTGGCAGGGGCGGAGGCGGCAGCGGGGGCGGAGGTGGTCGTGGTGGCGGCAGGGGTGGAGGTGGCCGGGGCGGAGGCGGTGGGGGTGGTGGTCGTGGAGGCACTGGCGGAGGGCAGAGTCAGCAGCCCGCCCCGACGCTTCAGGCCGCCCGTGAGTGGTATGCGCAGCGTGGGGTTACCTGCACGTACGTTATTCGCACAGGTGACCGCAGCGGCCAGCAGTGTGGGAGGCCGCACCCCACGCAGCGCTGCTTCGCGCGCCTTAACGACACGTGGCGCACCCAGTTTCCTAGTGCCACTGACCTGCCGCGCTGGGCTGAGCTGGAAAAGAGGGGTGTTGATATTTGGGCTCTAGACTTTGATGCTATTCTCACTGCCATGTATGCGATGTCTATTAGTGGAGAGGGTGCTCAGTACTTGCGTGTTCCGCCCGACCCGGGCATTCAGGCCAGTCCGGCTGCCGCTCTAGGTGCTAGTGCGTCCGCTCCCACAGGTCCTGGTGAGGCTGCTGCCCTAGGTGCTAGTGCGTCTGTGCCCCCTGGTACTGAGTCGACTGCAGCACTGCACACCTTCACACTGGACTCAGGTGCTTCTCGCTCTTTCTTTCGTGACCGCACTGTCCTTGAGCCACTCGCTCGGCCAGTTGCGGTCTCCCTTGCTGACCCCTCTGGGTCTCGACCTCCTCCACTGTCCTTCCTTGTCCGGCGGTCCCGTCCGGCACGCTGTCAGGTCTCTACCTCCCCTCGTTCTCTACGAACTTGGTGGCAGGTAGTGCACTCCAGGACGGGGGTGTTCACCAGTTCACCCCTGCCTACGAGCGCGTGACACACTGCACGTGTGCTCGGACGGGTCGCCACCTGGCTACTTTCACTCGAGAGCCGGGGTCGGACCTGTACACACTGACCACTGAGTCCCCTCAGGTAGCTGCGTCTGCGTCTACGTCTGCGTCTGCGTCAGGTCAGCTGTCCGCCCCCTGCTCGTGTCGCTCTCTGGCGCATGAGACTGTCCTTTGGCACCACCGCCTTGGTCACCCGTCTGTGCAGCGCCTTCGTGCCATGCACAAACGGGACCTTGTTGCTGGTCTTCCCAGGGTGCTCCCTCCCCTTCCCGACTCACCTGCTCCCCCCTGTATTCCCTATGTCGAGGGGCGGCAGCGCGCCGCACCTCACTCCTCCTCCTTTCCCCCGACGACTGCTCCCTTGCAGACGCTCCACATGGACGTGTGGGGCCCAGCCCGCGTCCGTGGTCAGGGTCAGGAGAGGTACTTCCTGATTGTTGTTGACGACTTCTCGCGCTACACCACGGTCTTCCCCTTGTGCGCCAAGGGTGACGTCCCTGATGTCTTGATCCCTTGGATCCGCAGATCTCGTCTCCAGCTCAGTGAGCGTTTCCGCTCCGACTTCCCTGTCCTGCGTCTGCACTTTGACAGAGGTGGGGAGTTTTCCTCTGGCCTATTGGAGGCCTTCTGTCAGCAGGAGGGCATTGAGCAGTCGTTCACGCTTCCGGCCTCTCCACAGCAAAATGGGGTTGCTGAGCGCCGCATTGGTCTGGTCATGGAGGTCGCTCGTACCTCCTTGAGCCATGCGGCTGCCCCCCATTTTCTGTGGCCGTTTGCAGTCCGATACGCTGCGCATCAGCTCAACCTCTGGCCCCGTGTCTCCTTGCCTGAGACTTCTCCGACACTGCGTTGGACGGGAGAGGCTGGCGATGCGTCGCGTTTTCGGGTCTGGGGATCCCGAGCTTTTGTCCGCGACACGTCCCCGGACAAGCTCTCCCGTCGCGCTGTCCCCTGCGTCTTCCTTGGCTTTGTTCCGGACGCCCCTGGCTGGCAGTTCTACCACCCCACCTCGCGTCGTGTCCTGGCCTCTCAGGACGTCTCTTTTGACGAGTCCGTCCCCTACTACCGCCTCTTCCCCTACCGCACTGCCCCGCTCCCCCCCCCGCCTCTCTTCCTCGCTCCAGGTGCTGAGGTACCAGACCCCCTCCCCCCTCAGGGTGCCGCTCCCTCAGGTGTGTCCCAGGTAGACCCGGGTGAGCCTGTCGAGGTAGCTGTCGACTCTCGTCCTGCTAGGGGTGCTGAGCCTGGGGGTGCTGCGTCTGGGGGTGCTGAGCCTGGGGGTGCTGCGTCTGGGGGTGCTGAGCCTGGGAGTGCTGAGTCTGAGGGTGCGGAGCCTGGGGGTGCTGAGCCTGGAGGTGCGGAGCCTGGGGGTGCTGGGTCTGGGGGTGCTGAGCCTGAGCGTGCGACACCTGGAGGAGCCCTCTCCTCCCAGCAGCTGCAGGAGAGGTACCTCGAGTACTGCCGCCTCCGGAGAGGTGCTGCTGGAGCTCGTCCCGGTACTTCCCCTCCTACCCAGGAGCTCCCCCCCATTCAGCAGATCCGCGAGTGGTACACACGGCGCTGCAGTCTTCGGAGTGGTGCTCCTGGTGCTGCGGACCCTGGGGGTGGCGCTGCTGCTGGTACAGAGGACTCGGACGTTGGAGCTGCTGCTGGAGCTGAGGACCCGAGCGGTGGCGCTGCTGCTGCTGCTGAGGACCCGGGCGTTGGAGCTGCTACTGGTGCTGAGGACCCGGGCGTTGGAGCTGCTACTGGTGCGGAGGACCCGAGCGGTGGCGCTGCTGCTGGTGCTGAGGACCCGAGTGGTGGAGCTGCTGCTGGTGCTGCGGACCCGGACGCTGGAGCTACTGCTGGTACTGAGGACCCGGCCGCTGGAGTCTCTTCTGCTTCTGGAGACGCTGCGCGGCCGCGGCCGTACTTCGTACCGCTCCTTCAGCAGGTTCTTGGGCAGGCTCCTCCTCCTTGTCCTCCTCCCTCCGTAGAGTGTCCCCCGCCTGTCCAGCCGCAGTCACAGTTACCGCCTACCTCGTCTCTCCCTGCTCCCTCTCCTTACACTGGTCCCACAGGAGGTCTTACAGAGCGTCGTGAGCCTGAGTCTCGTCCTGCGTTGCCTGTTCGTCCTGCTCGCGCTGGTAGTCGTGTCCGTCGTGAGCGTCCTCCTCCTGTCCCTGGCACTCACTACATGACTCTGCGTCCCTCCACTGCTCCTCAGCGTGTCCCGCTACCGTCTCCTCCTGCGTCCTCTTTGCCTGACATTCCGGATCCTGAGTCTGACCGGTATCGTGCTGAGCACCCTACTGTCACGCGTCTCCTCGCTACTGTTGTCACTGACCCTACCTTTGAGTCCTCGACTGCGTCTGCTCTGGTCGCTGAGTTGGTTGACTTTGCTGCTGCCTGTCGTCTAGACTACGCTGCTAGCCTTGTTGCTGAGTCTGAGTCTGAGTCTGTCTGTCCTCCGTCCGTCGGGGGTGAGTGTGCTCTTGGCACGGACGTCCTTGAGGACAGACAGGAGGAGTTCCAGTGTCTTGCTGCTGCTTTGCCCCGTCTCGTGTCCTTGCTAGTTGCCCCTGAGGGAGACCCGGATGCACCAGACATCCCGACCCCGCGCACTTACGCTGAGGCGATGGCGGGTCCCTACTCCTCTCAGTGGCAGACAGCCATGGACGCCGAGATGGCTTCCTGGAAGTCCACACGCACCTACGTCGACGAGGTTCCCCCTCCTGGGGCGAACATCGTCAGTGGCATGTGGATTTTCAGGGTGAAGCGGCCGCCGGGTTCTCCGCCTGTCTTCAAGGCGCGTTACGTGGCTCGAGGCTTCAGTCAGCGAGAGGGAGTTGACTTCTTCCAGACCTTCTCCCCCACCCCGAAGATGACTACTCTTCGGGTGCTGCTGCACATAGCCGCTCACCGCGACTACGAGCTTCACTCACTTGACTTCAGCACTGCTTTCTTGCAGGGCAGCCTGCACGAGGAGATCTGGCTGCGTCGCCCACCTGGCTTCACTGGGTCGTTTCCTCCTGGTACCCAGTGGAGGCTTCAGCGGCCAGTCTACGGTCTCCGCCAGGCTCCGCGTGAGTGGCACGACACACTGAGGACTACACTTGCGGCTCTTGGGTTCGCGCCTTCTACAGCTGACCCGTCGCTGTTCCTGCGCACCGACACTTCGCTGTCGCCGTTCTACATCCTCGTGTACGTCGACGACTTGGTCTTTGCCACTGCTGACACTGCAGGGCTCGCCTACGTGAAGTCGGAGCTGCAGAGGAGACACACGTGCACAGACCTGGGTGAGCTGACAAGCTATCTTGGCTTGCGGATCACCCGGGACAGAGCACGGTGCACCATCACCCTGACTCAGTCACACATGGTGCAGCAGGTTCTCCAGCGCTTCCGCTTCACGTACTCCTCGCCTCAGTCCACTCCTCTGCCTACCGGTCACTCGCTCTCAGCTCTGCCTTCGGATGAGTCCGTAGAGCCGAGTGGCCCGTATCCAGAGCTTGTGGGCTGCCTCATGTACCTGATGACCTGCACTCGACCTGACCTTGCATACCCTCTTAGCATCCTTGCACGCTATGTCGCTCCTGGCCGTCACAGGAAGGAGCACATGGATGCCGCTAAGAGGGTGTTGCGCTACTTGTGCAGTACGTCGGGCATGGGGCTTGTGCTTGGAGGGCGAGACCGAGTTGTTCTCACAGGGCACTCAGACGCTTCTTGGGCAGACGACCAGGCCACTCAGCGGTCGTCTCAGGGTTACACCTTCAGCCTTGGCTCTGGCTCAGTTTCTTGGCGCTCTACACGCTCTTCTTCTGTTCTCGGCTCCAGTTGCGAGGCTGAGATCTACGCTACAGCCATGGCTGCCCAGGAGCTACGCTGGCTGACCTACCTGCTGACCGACCTTGGAGAGCGGCCTCGTTCTCCTCCAGTACTGTACGTCGACAACAAGGCTGCCATTGCCTTGTGTGAGGAGCACAGATTGGAGCACAGAACGAAGCACATCGCCCTGCGGTACTTCCTTGCTCGTGAGCTGCAGCAGCGCGGTCAGCTTTGTATTCGCTACGTGGCCACTGAGGCCAACACTGCTGATGTGTTCACCAAGGCGCTTCAGCCTCGTGACCATCAGCGCTTCTGCACTCTACTAGGCCTTGTGCCTACTGGACCTCACTTGCTTACCTCGTGACTTTGCTTGTACTGTGATCACTATATATATATATATACATATATATATACCTGCATGTTTACTCTTGCTAGGTTGTGATCACTGTATCTCTTGCTCTGTTATAAACCTGCATGTGAACTGGTCTTGTGACCACTAGCTTGTGCTCGGAATTTGTGTGGAATCCTCGAGATCCACCCTGAGCTTGTTGTTGCCTTGCTTTGCTTTGACTGGTCTTGTGACCCCTAGATCTCCCCCACTTTGCCTATGGGGGTGTGTCAAACATTATATATGTTGGTTGTTGTTAGGCTACAGTGGGCTAGACTATATGGGGTACACTATTCTAGGGTTTGTATTTGTACTGCCTTCCCTGTTAGTTCAGCCATTCCAGTCAGTTATTCTTGATACAGGGAATGGGGGAGGTGGGAACGGGGGAGTAGGGAATGAGGGACAGTGAAGGGGGGAGCAGGGAAGGGGGGAGCGGGGAATGGGGGAATAGGGAATGGGGGAACCGGGAATGGAGGGACAGGGAATCGGGGGGCAGGGAATCAGGGGACAGGGAGTCGGGGAACAGGGAATGGGGGAGCGGGGAATGGGGGATCAGGGAATGGAGGAGGGGGGAATGGGGGAATAGGGAATGGGGGAACGGGCAATGGGGGGACAGGGAATCGGGAAACAGGGAATGGGGGAGCGGGGAATGGGGGAACATGGAATGGGGGAGGTGGGAACGGGGGAGCAGGGAATGGGGGAGCAGGGAATGGGGGAGCAGGGAATGGGGGAACAGGGGATGGCTGCGAACAGCCGCATTCCTCGGGGCTTGCGAATGCTGGCCGTACGCCA